GCATCTAGAGAAGTCCTTGGCGCAGGCAGGTGCTCAGGGAATGTTTGGTGAACCGCCTGCCCCCCGCTCTGGAGGTCCACACTGGCAGCTGGACGGGCAACCTCCCAACCTCCGTGCCACAAGACGACCGCTCGCCGGGGAGGAGGGGTCCTCTGCTCAGGGATGGGAGGCTGCGCTACAGGAAGGTGCCAGGATTCCAGGCTCGGGGGAGGCAGGGCTGCAGCAGAGAGGGGCTGAGGTGACTCCTGTGGAGGGGGCCCAAAGCGGAGCCCCAACGCTGCTGGGAAAGGCCGAGTCCTAGCACCCGGGAGACACCTGCCTGTTGCCCACAGACAGGGGCTGCCCACCACCCGGTCTGGAAAGGGTGGGGTCACCCCAGGGCCCACCTCTGGGGGCCCACAGGGCACGAGTTCTGCAAGGGCAGGAGCAGCCGAGGGTGCCTGGGCATCTGCTGCCACCAAGTGGCGGCTGGCGTGGTGGCTGGTGAGGCGCCCGAGGCCCAGGGTTTCAGCGAAGCCCCTCACAGGGGCTGGGCGCTCGGCCGGCGCCCCGGCCTCGGGCTGGCCGCCTGGACTGCCAGCTCACTTCTTTTGCTTAATGAAAGAAACCGAATTCCTCCCTTTTGTAAGGACGCGGTGGTCGTCCTAGGGAGAGCAGCGGGGTCCAGAGCTGACGCTGAGGCTCAGAGCGCCCTGCAGCAGGGGGCGGGCAGCGGCGCAGGCCCGGCAGCCGCGGGCGGGCTGTAACTGGAGGCCGAGGTGGCGGGGACCCCCTAGGGCGACCTCCCGCCCAGCTCCTCCTCCTCCCGGCCTCTGCGGACCCCAGGCCTAAGGGATGAGGGCGGTGGGAGAGGCCCGCGCCGCCACCCCTCCAAAGCGGGAAAATGGCTCCTTCGGAGCGAGTCCGCCTCCCCCTGAGCCCCGCCGCTGCGGTGGCGGAAGGAAGCCCGGCCTCAGTCTCCAGAGGCTGGGGTCAGGGCACCTTCCGCTCTGAGAGCGCCACAGAGGGCAGGCTACGCCACGGCCTCAGGAGCAGGCCGTGGGTCCCCCGGGGGCG